CCTACGCTTACTGCAGGCTCATAATGGTTAAGAAAGCCGTGTGACAGACAAGTTCAGATGCAAAAGCCACAATAGGAGGATTTCAGCCGGTATCGGTGAGATACTGTCCTTTCTGCATTATCGTTTGTCCTCAAGGCTGCTTCTGCTCTCTGCTCGATAACAGCAATCGAACAACACAACACTTCAACCTCTTCATAAACCACTAATCACTAAATCATCCCGACCTATTTCAACTGAAAAGCCTTATGTTTATGTTCTCGAAGGAAGCAGCAGCATTGTGAACGGTGTGTCGCCATGCTTCCCGATTCGAAACCAAAGTGGATCATTGATGATAGTCTTTATCATCATGACTGTGGCATTGCTTCAGGGTATCCTTATATTGCCTCTTTGAGGCTCTTCTTTTGCGGAAACCGACGGCCAATTTATTACAGAGCGCAATAATTTTAGGAAGATGCTTGCATCCTCGAGACGTGCCCATTCCAGCACAACTGCGTCCTCAGCAATATACCTCAATACTGATGGTACCTGCCTACATGAGAGTAGCAACATTGAATACCTGTGGATGTTTAGGATTGTAGAGATAACGCTGATGAAACCGTTCGAGAATCGCAAATGGTGGCAATGGTGCCATGATTCAGAACCATTAATAGAATGGACAGTACAATAGCTTTATAAACCTAATTTTCTTATTTCTCTTCAGATATTTATTGCACCAGACACCTTTACGAAGTTTTTGGAAAGCTCTGTATGCCTTTACTAATCTATTGCCAATCTTTTTATCAATCTTCTGAACTGATTTAAGCTCTGATTCGTCTACGGTAATGTGAGGATGAAAGTGATCGTCGTGTGATGCAGGCTGGTAGAGAACTTTTGTATTCTTCAAACTTGCTTCTAGCTCAAGGAGCTCTGGGCTTCTGCAAAAACAAGATGTTAAGCATTGCAGAGTTGCTTCTGTGTGAATGACGAAGTTGGCATCGTCGGCAAAAAGTACTTCACGGATGTGGTAATTTAAGATCTTGGTGTAGGCTTTCACTCACCTTGAATTGAATAGGCTTCTGTCGGTACGATATTGAAAGTGAATGTTTTTTTCTTTATCTAGGTCTATTGTAGCTTTCGATAATCATGCTGAAATAGATTGTAAAGAGAGCTGATGCAAGAACGCAGCCTTGCATTAACCCCATTAATTCTTGGGAAAGATTCCGAAAGTGTATCTGACTCAGCTGCGTTGATTTTCATATAATAGCGTAATCATTTTCAGGAACTTGAGAGGACATCCTAATCATTCCATGTTCTGCCATAGAACTTTTCGGTCAATGGCTTTGGTGAGGTCTGCGATGTACTGTTCTCTGTATTTCTCTTGCAGTTGTCGGAGAACAAATATCATATCTATGGTACTCCTATTTGCTCTGAAACCACATTGTCTTTCAGATAGAACCTTTCTGATATAGAGAGTGCTAATTTGTGCAAAAGTTTTCTTATAAGGATTTTGCCAGCAATACAGTAATAAGGTAATACTTCAATAATTTGAATAGTCCTGTTTCACTCTTTTCTTTTTGTATACGATGGTGATGATTCCATCACAAAGATCTGATTGAAATTTATCTTTTTCCTAGTATCTCAGAACGAACTCGTGAAACTTAGTGAGGAGTGCTTACCCACTGTGTTTCCAGACCTGGTAGGATACTATCAACTCGAACTGCCTTGCCAGTTTTCATCTAGGCCAGTATGGCCTTGAACGTCTCTGCCACAGTGAGGATAATATCCAATTCGCTCTTTACCGGTTGTTATGCAATGTGCTGAATTACTGAGCCTCGAATTGCAAGTTTGGCACTGAAGAAAGTCTGGAAATGTTCAGACCATTGGTTCAAGATAGAGGTTTTTATCAGTAAGACGCGTTTAGTCATCTACGATGAGATAGGGAGCTTTGAGCGTGGTTTGCGGTCAATACACAGCTTTTAGAGTCTCGTAGAATCTTCTGTGGTTACCCGAATCTGCGCACAGTTGAATATTTTCTGTTAGGTTTATCCACCATTTGTTTTGATTGTCTTGGAATTTCTGTGGGAGCTTGCTGCATGCAAGGCGAAAGGTGGCTTTTCTTACATAATGGCTCAGCAAGATGTGTTTGGTAAGCAGATCTCTTTTTTGTCAGTAAATTCTGGATCTCTTCGTTGCTTTAACCAGTCCTTATTCCTCTTGCATGAAAATCCTATGAATTCCACGGAATATTGCTGTATTGTTGGCTTTAATATGTTACAAGTACTTCAGGCGAGGGATCTGTGAGATAGTTTTAAAATCTGGTTTGAAAATTCATTTTGAAGTAG